TGGGGGTTCACCAACTTGGTTTTGGAGAGAACATGCCTGGAAGAACACCCTAAATCTGAAAAAAAAATCGGGCTTTATTAGGGAATAAGGCCACAGTGTCTGTAAGCCCAAAAATATTGCAAATATTGCATCTTTGAAGTGAATTGTTCTCAGCCAAATATTGTTTAAGTGGACCTATTAAGTGAATTTAGTCAACTGGTGAGGTTCCTTCAAGAACAAGTTCGCAGTTAGCGACCGTAGTTTCACGCACCTTGCAGCCGCAAGATGGCAGGACTCGATGTCCCATGGACAGAAATCTTGAAATTTTTTTAACTTCCCACATTAATTTTTTGTTCATTTTTGGACAATGTGGAGATAATTGTAAATAAAATCTGTTTCTGCAAAGAAAAGTAGGGGTCACCGACCGTCCAAGATCGTTAGATCCAGGCAAAGCCATAGCAATAGCCATCTGCCCTATCATTGTTCATTTTATTACTTAGCACATGCTCTCATGCATGACATGGCATGTGAATTTGCGTGCACAGTAAGGATGCACAGAAACAATTAGCACAAATGTCCTTTAACTGTCTGCAATGCTCACTATCAGCGAGACATTTACCCAGGAGAAATAGCTTTAATCAAGAGAAATGTTGCATGACTACATGTACTGCAAATAAGAAGAGTATTAATTGGTGTAAATTATCTGAATATCATAACCTTGCTACTGCATGTAAAGGAAGATATTTCTGATAGCCTTGGGCTAGTACATTGTAGGTTATGTGTTTGGACTGGTGGATTTCACCATCTGTTTACCTAAATGGGCAATTGACCCAGTGGCTGTAGACCCCCTGTGAAAATGTTTGACCAACAGTACTTGGAAGAAAACGTTCAAAATGGTTTCAAAGCTTGTAGGCTGCTTTTTCTGGCGTTCGCCTTCCCAAAATGGGCTTTAAACACGGAGCAATCCTATAAAAGGCAAGGACACGCCACCTTTGAAGCACTTTGTTGGCTTTTTTGTGCAACGGTGGAAAGCCGAAATAATGGTCGCGTTACATGGAAGTCGTGAAGAAATAGCGTTTTTTTTTTTTTTTCGTTAAAACAATGGAGTCATTTATGTAGAATGATATAAGGTGAATAATAAAAATACAGTGAAAATAAAACTTATATTAACTCTTTAGAAGATGCCTTTGGAACAACAAAAACAATGAATTATCTTCTGCACTTCACGGAACATTCAAATTTCGCCAGTAACTAAAATAACAAAGCTGATAACTGTGATCAATGAGCTATCTTTTTCCATTTATCTCAGCATGCCGAGAACGAAAACAAATCTCGTTAGAGGTGATTTTGGTTAGCCTGTGAACACAGACGGATTTTGGTGGGGTATTCAAAATTATTCAGATTTATGAACATTATGATGGTGCAAACAAAATGCAAATTGAACAATGAGTTATTCCTCAAACTGTTCTATAGCATTCATAGCAAAGAAATTGGAAAAAAAAAGTACTACAAAGAAACAAGAGAACTTGAAAAATGGCAAGGTGAGATTTTTATGTTACAAAGGAGAAGGAAGACTCATGGCTGAATGCAAGAAAAACTTGAGTTCGTAAAAGGCCGACTGAATTTTAGCAGCAAGAGTACAACAGCAGCCAATGTTCACCTTATGGAATCTCTTTTAGATAACTGGCTGAAGAATAACCATATTACCGTAGATATAATATATTACCTTCACAGTCCACTTGTATCTTTTTTTTACAAGTTTTAGTTTCCAAACTTATTTCTCAACTGCATTAATCCTCGAAGGAGCAAAGACACTCTGGCAAAAGAACTAGACACAGCATTTTATTAATTTGAGTGAACAGTTCAAATTCATACGATTGGAACAAAATTATGAAGTTGAAATAAAAAAAGGTCAGTTTTTTTGTAAACTCTTCTCCTGAAGCTATCATTCATTTAGTTCAAAAGGCATTGCCCACTGGTAAAATAAAACAAAATTACACCCGTTGCTCTCCAGAATTTTTTGGCAACACTCTAAAATTAGACCTGAGTGAATAAGCCAATCAAATGGGAGCATTGGTCATCCGTTGGGATTTGTGATTGGCCAGCTGAACACCTCAGCCTTGTTATACAGGATCGCTCCATGTTTATCGTAAGTGAAATGATATGAGGGATCCAGGTATTTTGTGTTGTAAAAGCCGCATATCAGTTAAATGTGTATCATGGAAATCCACAATGCGGATATCATTTCCATTCTCAATTTGCCATCAACAAAACGATGATTAAAGAATCAAAGCAAACAAAGACCAATCATTTTGTTTTTTGTGACCAGTGGTTTCTGTGCAAGGAAGAAATAACTTTTTCTTTTATAGATTTCTGATTTTACTGGGCTCTCAATAAAGATCATCAGATTATGCGAGGTTTCAAAATAGTTATTTTTGGAATTATAGTAGTTTTATTAGGTGTGAGAATAAAATTGTGAACATTTTTGTTTTTGCTACAATTTATCCGGATTTCAATTCTCACGCATTTTGTTATTGTGTAATTTTTTCGGACAAGAAGGTTACCATCCCCCTAAGTCTGAAAGTGCCCCCATTCCTATCAGTTACCTTTTTCTACTGCCAGACCTTCAACAGTATTTCTGTCATTCTACTTGCAATGGGCATAAAACTGAACACGCAATTGGACTTGATAATTTAATGAAAATCATGCTGAATGTATACCACAAAACTCCCCAGAAACTATCTGGAGCATCTCATGTTGATAGCCAGGCAGAGTTGACTTTTAATGAGGCTCATTGTGAAGCAACTGATTAGAGCTTGGTATCTGAAGTTTGGAGAAAACAGCGGGATACTGGAGCACAGTTTCACAGATATAACTTTTTCTGCATGAAAGGAAATAGAGGCTCTATAGTCACAGGCTAAAGATAAGTACACTACCAGCAGCATACACTGTATAATGCAGATCAAGTCGTGACTTACTGTGCAGCAATATAATTTGCTTGTTTGTTTTCCTTTCAGTATTTTTACTATGGAAATTTGATGTTGATGGCCCTCCTCCCTTCACTAGCAACCGTTGTGAATTTTAAGGACTTTGTTGATCTGGAATTGACCGTAGCTTTTTATATCTTTATCTTTCTTTGCTCAGGTGGTTGTACATGGGGTATGTCTTGTAGGTTTCTACATCCAGGACTTAATGACAAAGGTACAGTGGTAAATTTAAAGAAAAATTTAACTGAATAACAGTAGTTTATACAGGTCTATGTAAAAATTGAAAGCTTTTGTGTACATCTTTCCTCAGCCTTAATTTTGTCAAAGAAAAAGTAACACGTTTTAATTTCTTGATTAAAATACCCTGAATGAGCACCATGTATCAAAAGTTTGAACATTAATTAATTAATTAATTAATTAATTGATTGATTAATTAATTAATAATTAGTATAGGTAATCATACGGTTTCTAGTTCAAATATTTGGAATTAATTTGCACAAGTAAGTTTGTCAAAAAGCTGAAATTTCGTTATTGTGATGGCTGGTTTTGAGTTTGTCAAACCGAATGTTAAAACTAATCAAGAAATAATACAACCATTAATTTAATTTTTAGTGAAAGACTTTTGAACACATGAATGACAGTTCGTATTCCTATTGTTATTGCTAGTAAAAGTGGAAACTGCTTGTTGTGTTCTTTTTTCATTTGTATATTTTTGGTAATTTCCTCAAGTTTGTACTCAGTACAAGTACTGAACTAGGTTTGGAAATTCTTCAACGAGATTTTGTTTGTCAGTTTTCCCCAGTTTGTTATGAGTTAGCCGGTATATAATATTTAGTAAATCAGATTACATGTGGTATTTGGGTTCTTTGTACAGATCAAGATAAATCAATGTATTTAACATTAACAGGTGCATATCAAATGCTCCCTGAGCCTGGCCAGTATCCCAGCCCCTTCCCCAAGGTACCAGTCGCTCCTGTCCATCCAGAGGCTATAATGCCATCCTTCCCAGACCAGGATGTTGGGCAATTGGTATGTTTTGTGTCTATCATAAGAATATGACAGGAATGTATCCTACATGTTACATCTGAATTAACGTCAAATCCCTGACTGGACTGGGTGGGCACAGACTACCGGTACATGCAGAACTTTCAAAACTAGTCAATTGTATTACTTTTGAACTGAAACAATTTCAAATGATAACTTATAAATCCTAGTAAGTTATATGATACAAGATTTGCTTCTTATCTGAGCTGGTCGTGTACTGGGACATAAATGGTTTAGAAAAATAAAGTTGTTTCGGTACAGTTTTTTTCATGAACCAAACCTACAACCATGGACAAATAGTGTTGCAAAAACCCAAGAACATGAAATAATAACCGTAATATCTACAGAATATGTGTCAGCACCCCCATTCCCCCTTTCAATGTTGGAAAATGGTAAAATGCAAACTTATGTTAGATCAAAGTGTTTTAAAGGCGAAATGTGTATAGAATGAGTTTTTCCAACCCTTGTAGCACCGCACAATAACTTTTTTGAAAAGTTGGTCATTTAGTATTTAGTATTATAATGCAAAACCTGTGGCTTGAAATGTTTTTGCAATTTACCCAAAATTGGATACTCCACTTGCCATGGATCATAATTTAAGGTATTGGTATTAGCTTTTTTATATCCAATCTGGTTTGTGCAACTTTTTTGTTTATCGTTACCATGTCCAAAAAAAAACACTATACCACACTTCAAGAAGCGTAATTTTGACACTGATCTGATTAACGGAAGACTGGTTAAAAGCTGATCGAAAATCAATGTTTGGTATGATCTGCATGGTGATGTACCGGTTAAAATTCACTTAATGTAGATGCAGCTGTGGTAATTTTGTTACACGTTCGTTTTCAGGATGATGAAATGGCTGATAGAACACAACCCATCTCAGAGCCGATAGCCCCACCCAAAAAAGAAACAGCATGGGAGAGGGGACTAAAACTAGCAAGAGAAGTAAGTACTAACATTAAGTAACTTACTATATATCTTGTATTGGCCATGGGGAACTCCCTTATAAAACTTTTTAAAAGGACAGGGGTGTTCCTCGTACCTTTTAGGGGCTAAAAACGCAGTTTTTCGTGCGCTACTGGGATGGTTTGGGGGGCTGTCATCCTCTAAGCAACTATGGAACTAAGGCACTAAGTCCCTAAGGCGCTGAGGTGTAAACTTCAATGTTTGTTAATGAATTAATTTGAATTAATTAATTAGTCTAGAGGCAAGGAAGTGGTGGGGGTGGGGTGGGAAAGGTACTTGTGTACTCTACGTAAAACATGTTCCACCTACGCCGATTGAGTATGAACATCGCAAAGCTATATATTTGTTTCAGAAAACCCCTTGCTCTCCTTGTGGTTCTATTCTCTCTAGAACAAAACCGATTTGCTCTATACGCATGCGCAGATAAGTTAGCGTTCGTGTCTTCTCTATGTTAGACGGAGGATACATTGCATGCGGGATCACACAAATGTTGAGTGGTTTTCCTTATGGTAGAACCCAACATATAAGACGCATGCGTTCTAGCATCGTTAGTGTAATACACTATGTTTGCAACGCGGTTTTTCGTTATAATTGTCATGTGATGTGACCGAGGACGGCAGATCTTTTTCAAGTAGCGCCATTTCTCCCTCTTTAGAGCAAAACTGAATCGTTACTGTGGCTGCGTATCTTTTAGAATTACCCAAATGTCGGTTCAAAATTTTCAAACTACCATAGTGTGTTTGTTAGGGTTCAAATAAAGAAGGGAAACTTATTAATTGCTTCCCCTTAGCAGCTTTTTTTATTTCTTGCCTTAATTGCGTCTGTAAAAGAGAACAAAAAGTTCCCAAGTTAATGGCTTTAATACTCTTCAAAGTGTAAATTTGTGACGAAAGAAAACAGGAAAATGCTCAAATATTGCTGCAGACGCCGTATCATCTAATGAAAGCGCAGATTAATTTAATCAGTCTTTGACGAGACTCGTCCACCGATGCAGAATCTAATATCGGCCAAGTAGCGCTGTTTACCTTCAATACTTCTCGTTGAAACGCTTCTCAGTTGTATCAATCGATATCGTTGTGTATTAATTTTGAATTGTTTTATTGTTAACAACAAAGGTGGCAACAGAAAAAGAAAGTGGTATTCCGTGACTATCTGATAATTAAACGAGTTCTTGTTTATCGCTGAAAAACGTTTTGAGTAAAACAAAATCGTTTCTCTTCCATTTCTTCATCAGATATTTAACTTTCTTTCATTTACCTCCAACAACGAAAGAAAAAACAAGCACATCTTTTGTGTGTTTTGGAGAAAACAAGGGTTTCATTTTACATACCTTCGCGAGGAAAACAAAGGTATCAAGTTACAAAGTTGGCGTGAAAAGCTAAATTGTCACGTTTGCTGCTTAAACGTAATATCGAATTTAAAATGAACGAAAATCAACGTAAGACACTAGAGTAGAACTTAAAGACTGTCGTGGCAAACAGTAATTGTAAGTAATTTTTGGACCTTGAATGAAATTACAATCATGAAACATGCACACTGCTAAGGGGAAAAGCCCTAGCAGACTACCAAGATAAATACCAACCGGAAGTGAACTGAGCAGGGGTGGAGTACTTTTTGGACTGCCGTGCCAGAGCTATCAATATAATTCCTTTCTGCACTATCTGAGATTGTCTCACTAGTTAGTGCAAGGCACCTAAGGCACTGTGGCGCTAAGGTCTAAACTTTCTTGTTTGTTTAATTAATTAATTTCAATTAATTAATTAGGCTAGAGGCAAGGAAGTGGTGGGGGTGAGGTGGGAAAGGTACCTGTGTACCCCACGAAAAACGTGTTCCATCTACGTCAGTTAGGTGTGAACATCGCAAAGCTATATATTTGTTTCAAGTAACCCCTTGGTCTCCTTGTGGTACTATTCTCTTTTTCTCTTTATTGAATTTAAAATGAATAAAAATCATCGTAAAACACTGGAGTAAAATTTCAAACCTGTCGTGACAAAAAGTAATTGTACGTAATTTTGGGACCTTGAATGAAAATACAACCTTGAAACATACACACTGCTAAGGGGAAAGCCCTAGCAGAAAACCAAGGTAAATACCAACCGGAAGTGAACCATGCAGGGGTAATACTTAAGGGACTAACGTGCCAGAGCTACCAATTGTACTCTGCACTATCTGAGATTGTCTCACTAGTGGTACCTCTCGAGGTGTTCAGCCTCAAAAGGTCTCTTTGCAGTACCTTTTAGGGTATTGAAGTGAAAACAATAGGACAGGAGATAATGTGTTATGATTTAGAATTGGTTCCCCTGTTAGCGTAGGCGTACTGACCGGGGAGCGGGGGCGT